CCTCCCCGCTCCCCCCTCCCACATGAACCCTTGATAATTTAGAAATTATTATTTTGTCATATCTTGCCCTGTCCGATGTCTCCCTTCACCCACTTTTCTGCTGTCCGTCCCCCCAGAGAGGAGGTCACATGCAGATCCTTGTAATTGGTTTCCCCTTTCTGCTCCACCCTCCCAGTATCGCCACTCACACCACTGGTCCTGAAGGGATTATCTGCCCTGGAATCCCTGTGTTTCCAGTTCCTATCTATACCAGTGTATGTCCTCTGGTCTAGCCAACTTGCAAGGTAGAATTGGGATCATGACTGTGTGTGTGTGTGTGTGTGTGTGTGTGTGTGTGTGTGTGTGTGTAGCATTTAGGAACTAAAGGAAAGTTCTATGTTTCACGTTGCTACATCGCACCCTGAATGGCTCACTTATGCCTCTTGATTTTTGGAGGAAGAAGGCAGTTTAAATTTTGAAGCTTTGAGACAAATTAACTATGAACTCTAAAATGGAATTAAACTGCTTATAAACTAGTTCTGATAAATCCAGTGGCAGTTCTTTATATAGCAGACAAATTCTTCTCAGGTCATTTGCAAAATCAAACTCATTGCCATCAAGTCAATTCCAACTCATAATAACTTATCGGACAGAGTAGAGCTGACCCGGCGGGTTTCTTCCTTCCTTCCTTCATTCATCATTTTGTTGAGGGCTTGTACAACTCTTATAGTGGTCTGTGCATCCGTCTATTGTGTCAAGCACATTTGTTGCCATCATCATTCTCGGGACTTTTGCTTTCTGCTTGGGCCCTAGGTATAGGCTCAATTTCCCCCCTCCTTCCCTGCACCACCCCTCCCTCATTGACCCTTGATAGTTTATAGATCCACTCGGTGTTGCCGCTCTGGGCACTGGTCCTGCGGGATCCTCTGTTCTGGATTCCCTGTGTTTCCAGTTCCTGTCTGTGCCAGTGTGCATCCTCTGGTCTGGCAAGGTTTGCGGGGTGGAATTGGAATCATGGTGGGGGGATGGGGGCATTTGGGAGCTGGAGGAGAGTTTTATGTTTCATCATTGCTATACTGGGTTTCTGGAACTGTGATTCTACGGGGGGAGTAGAAAGCCTTACTCCCAAGGAGCAGTGGGTGGTTTTGAATTGCTGACCTTGAATTTAACAACCCAACGAGTAACTGCTATGCCGCTAGGATCCAATAAAAATCCAATCCAGTTTTTGAAAAAATAAATAAAATAAAATGGGCTCTATCAAGGAATACTGGTGGCAAAGTGGATTAAACATGGGAGGTGGCTCAAACCCACCAGTTACTCCATGGAAAGAGATGAGGCAATCTGATTCTGTGAAGATTTACACTCTTAGAAGCCCTAAGAAATCCTATTCTGTAGGTTTGTGGTTTAATTTAAACCTTATACTAAATTCACATAGTATTCAGTTTTCAAATCACTATTAGCTCACCTGATTCTCATCAACCCAACCGGATGGAAGCAGCTGATGCCTTTGAGAAACTAAGTGATCTTTGGGCTAAAGGCATATATAGGCAGTCCCAAGATAGGAGTACGTTACTTTCCTAAATCAATCTTTCAATCTAAATCAGTCTCAATCTAATTTGTTAGGACTTAACGCAGAACAGTTAGATATGGCTTGTATCTATGTGAGTTAGACAAATGTACGTTTTGAGACTATAGAGCAATAGTGAACCTTTCTGTGTATAAAAGACATTAAGAACACTTCTAGATACACTAAAACATCTTTAACATAGTAATAATACTTGGATGTATGTCACAACTGATGCACCTCCAATTTTCATTAGACTTCTTTTTTGGGGGTGGGTTGTTAATTATGGGCTGTAGGTAGGTTAGATAATTGGAACCTGGGGCTGCTTGTACCCTGTCTTGTTATAGGTTCTCATTATTCATAATTATAATATTAATACTTAGTTAATAAGATTGTGATTCAATTAGTTAAATCAAGCTAACAGATATTATTATTAACCACACAGCCATATATTACTATATCATTACTGGCTAGAGAACTAAGTAGTATTATCCTTAAAAAAAAAAAAAAATGTATCCTAGTTTTAAAGCCAAGGTCACCAAGATTAAATAATTTGTTCCAACTCACATAGCTACAAAACTTCAACAC